CAAATCTAACCGTATTCTCGACTCATTTCCCCCCACTTGGAGTCGCTTGCTTTTCGATCCGTGCGGTAATTACCGGGACAACCTGTACGCCCGCTACGTGCACGCTGCAGAAACTATTTCATTGGTCGTCGCGCGATAATTCCTGGCGATAGTATCCGCCGTTCAGAAAAGTCTCGGAACAAACACCAGATATATGTAAACGTCCCGCAGGAGTTCCGCTATCGTGAAAGGTGTTCTGTTCGGCGTTGAAAGGTCCGCTACGCCGAGATGTACGCCTACGGTGCCAGGGGAAGCGCAATCTAGTATCTGAAGCACGCGTATTTTTTCGCCGATGTCCCGGTGCAGGGCATTGAAACCCGCTGAAGCATTTAATATTGTAATAGGTCTCAGCTACGGGCAAGATAGCATCTCTAATTCAGCGTTACGGCCAATCGGACATGCAAATGTGCCCGGTCGCGGATCTCGTGTGAAATTAATTGCGCGTGACGCGACTCCGGGGCTCACAGTGGCGAGCTCATCGGACGATCGGGCCCTGTGTCTACACGCGCCTGTTAACACGTGTGCGGAATGGAGACTGTTCTCGCGCGGATACAAGATGTACGATCCGCCACGCGATTCGCGCACGAGCCCGATCGGACGTTCCAAAGACGACACGCCGGGTTTTCGTTCGACGGACGCTTATCCTGGCCAATCACGAGATCAAAAACAAAGTTTGGGAATTGTTTTCGTAGGCGATTCAATTGTTTCTCAATTTTTAAACGGTTGAAATGTTTCAATGTGGGGTAATTGTTTAGGATTCTTGGAACTTCCGTTAGAACATCGATTCGAGGCTGGTCAAAGTATGGAGAAAAAAATTATTTTTTTACCTAGAAAAATTAAATGAGAGGAAATGACCGAGATACCGGAAGATCGTACGCTGCACGCAGTGGAGATCTATTTGCTTTTCAAAGTCCCGAATCGATGATTTATTTGAAGTCGATATTTGAGAAGAGATTAATTATGAAAAACACTACCCTAGACCACTTATTGAGTAATTTATTTCTGAATATATTAAGCGAATAGTCGTTTTAAAAATTTTCTTTAACGTTGACTCGGACACCGAAAACAATCCAAAATCTTGTCAATAATAATTGCTAAGCCATTGATACGACTTGGAATAAATAAATATCTCAAATACTGGTACTATCATTCGCCAATAATCTGCATGGCGAGTTAATACGCTTATGGCTACTATGGCCAGTTCGCAAAGGGCATACTGATACGCGTATGGTCGTTTAGGAGTTAATTCTCAGCGTATGGTAAGTATTAACATGCCGCAAGGCAAGTGCGTCTCTTAGTAGCAGAAAGAAGATTTTCAACGCTGCAGGATCTAGCTTCTATAATTATCAGAAATATATGCGTAATTGGACGTTAAATGACAACGTAACAAAATGACCTAATAAAGCAAACAGATATTAAAAATTAAATAACTGAAAACATTAATCGCAGAATACTACAAAATTGTGTGTAGAAGTCAAAGAAACAAACAAAACCAATTTTTTCAACAATTTTAGTTTTGTATTCAATTGCCTTGTTAATTTATAGGTATTTAAAGACAACTCGATTCATTTTTCTTTTGCAATTTATTTTACACGAACAATAAGTGTAAAATACTTTTCTTGAAAGGTATTAATTTAATATGTATCTTCTTGTTTCTATTTCTATTATGGAAAACATTTTATGCATTGGTTGAAACTCTAGAGGAAGGATTATATGAAGTAGTGGATATTTTTTATAAATTCGAATATCTATCATAGGATTGAAATTACTGCGTAATTATAAAAGTTGCAAAAGCACGAAACACAATTAGAAAGTTATACCACTGTTTCTCATAATTGTTACGTGAGACCGGCTAGAAAGACCCAACAGATAGGATATTAATTAAAAGCTCTGGGCGGTGCTCTTAATTAGTACCGATTCCATGCAAATTTCGTTTCAGGAGATTGTAAATTACATTTAACGTAACCGCTAATGTTTGAGCGCGTTTCGTGAAAACGAAATCTCTGAATCTAACGTGCTATTCAATTACAGCGTAAGCCTATACGTAATTTGTGTTTTTTCAATGAAACTCCAAGAAGGAAGTTTGTTTTCTCACAGATATTGTTACAAAGGAGCGATGTGAGAGTCGGAGTAGGCGGTTATAGGATTTTCAAGACATTCAATTAACTTTCACCGATTGTATTTTTATGTAAAAATTACATAAATGCGAATTGATATCCGACACTAGTTTCTACAGGAATCTCCATCATTTTACAATGGAAATTTACGAACGTTGCTTCTCGATTATACTTGTAGCATCTGATCCTAGACTCGACGACAATTCAAACACGATTCAATGTTTCACATGATTTAATCTGCTTTCATTCACAATTCATCTACCTTCCAGAGACAATTAACTTATTTATATCAGACACTCTCGTTACGGTATTCAAATTTCGAAGTTTCACTTTTCTTTTGGAATATAAATCTTGATGATAGAAATAAATTAACAGAGACTGTTAATATACAAGACTTTAATTCTAACAAAATATCTGTGACACGATTGTACGATACTCGAGTGTTTCCAAACTTTCGAACGGTAGCGTAAACGTGTTAAATTCATCGATGGAACAATAAAACTACAGGCTGTTCCGTAGGAATATTTATCACACGCTATATTTCACACCGAATGGAGGCACAAAGTACGTTCGATCGTGTAAACCTTGCATGATTTCAAAAGGTAATGTCCCTTCCCGTAACAAAGTACAATGGTTTTATGTACCGGCTGGTTGATAGTGCGATTCTAGATATCGCGATAGCCAGCAGGATGGCTCGGCATTATGCAGCGAAGCCAAAAGATCGACGATCGCGACCGTCGCGTACGAAAGGTTGAAAGGTACGAGTCGGTGAAAGTCTTTTCGTACCTATTCGAGTCGGTTGACACAGCTGAGTGAAAGGCACCTGCTAATTAATACTTTTATTCGCCTCTTATCGAGAGAACCACGATTCGACCGTTAATCACTACCGGGCGCGTACTTACACGCGCAAATCGTGTGTTAACGTTATCGAAACGGTGAAAAAACGAAAGCTGGTCTTACCAGAAAACAGCGACCGCAACGATTTTTAACGGTATTATGTAATTTCACGGTTTAACGCTGAGTCGATGCTTTTTTGCATTCGTATCGTAAGAGGCTTTGCATTTGCAAGAAACGTTGAGCGGCTACAATTTTGAAACGTCCCCTTTTTCTACGAAACGTGGGTGTTCTATATACGTTTTCTTTGAAAGTATCTTTTTATTTCTGGCTTACAATAATTTGTATACTTAAGAATTCAGGTCGAAAGCGTTGTGAATTCAACATTAGTAGAAAAAGATTGCCCGAGTAGGCTGGAATTTAAATCAATTATTACCTTTTGCAATGTCTACGTTTCTGCTGATTAACGAAGCCATTCATCTGAAAGCAACCTTCGTCGCGCGTAATCGAACAGCGAATAAATTCGTTCTCTGCATTTAATTATCGAATGCGGGTTGAAAAGTTTAGACGTCGCCATTGATCTATCGTTTTCAATTTTTGCATCAATTACACATTGTATATGTACAGCTATAAATCCTACAGAATGAGCTGCAGCGACGTCTAATACACTTCCAGCTGGCAAGAACGTCTTCGGGTTGATGTATAGCACGACGACTTAGAAAATATCCCTGAGGGAGTGGTCTGAGCGTGGTGGGGCACGTTAAGATTGATAACTAAAAGATCTTTTTCACGTTATTTAACTATACTTCTCTTGAATCCTTATATTGCAAAATTATTTTAAAGACTTTGATATCTTCATCTATTTTATTAAATTCTAATCTTTAAATTTGAACAAGACTAATTATTATATAAAATTCTCAATTAAGTACACGTATTTTTCTTTCGTGGACGCGTAATTTTATTTGTAACGATTGAAAGCATATGGTTCATGGAAACAGAGAGTTAAATGTAATAGAACCGTTATAATTGCAGCAAAAACGAAACTAGAAATTCTTCCATGTATTGAAATGCGTGCAATTAACGAGGTAACCAATCTAATAAGGAGAGGCTCGGTTACGCAGTAGGTACATCTCTATGATCAATGGTTACTGTTACATATCCGCTTCCAGCTTCACTCGTTGCTAAGTGACCATCCCTTTCTCTTAGAAACACAGTTCAATGAACGAGGTTCTCATGTAATAATCAAGAGCGCATTTATCGAGGTTCGTACTGCCTTGCTCGCGCGAAATATTTTCCTTCGGATCGAGCCCGATCTCCTAGATCGTTGACTAATCAGTTACGAAACCCTGTTACCGGGAACGTCCAATTAAGCGACGAATCATTGATTTCGAGGGTAAATTCCTGACATCGCAATCGCAGCGTTATATGCTCGTTACGCGGGAATACTCGATCGGTTGATTTTCGAAATAAAATTCTACGAGTTTCGTTCGTCGCAAAAACGTCAAAATCTGGAGGAAGTATTTAAAGAACTTTGCAACTTCTGGGTCAGAGTATATCAAAATACCATCTTTGGTCTATTCCTGCATGGACGTTGATAAAATTAATAAAGAAAATGCTTGTTGGGCGATGAGAAATGCCATCATTTATAAGACTTTACCGGCCAGCTCCGGATAGCCAGACCTCACGTTTAACCGAAATGCCCAGGGTATTCTCATTGAATTTCAGTTTCAGCGTAGAGTCGTAGGATAATTCATTAAGGCTGACCCGTTGGCTGGAAGATAACGTTTGCAAGTAACATCACAGAATTCGGAATTAGAAGGAAATCTAGTTAGTTTCAGAATTTAACTGTTAATTTTAGAAATTACTGGCTCCATTTTTAATAGTACTTTAGATTATACATCTTTCTTAAAAATGGTAATATCATCTTGTTGATTCCACCAAATATTCTTAATACCTATTCTGAGAAGAGCATGTTTATTCAATCATTGTTCTACATTGGAGAGTCGCGTAGAAGCGGAGGTAGATTTGTGCAGCTGGATCAGTACATGGAACCTACGTCCTCGGGTAGCAAGAAGTAGATCGTCACGTCTCCTTGGGCTGTTTTCACTGCCTCCCGGTGTCTGATCAGCAACGCCGCTGCCAGTCCGTACATCAGCAAGGGTATACCTGGCGGAACGGATATGGAATACAAATTAACGAACGATCAATTATCGCGGCGACACGTCGCGTCGTTGGGGCCCCGTCGTTGGCTATTTACAGATCGAAAAAGTGTCAATGAAACGAGACGGCGATCGTAGAAGGACAATGATATCGTCGAGGCGTGGATTTTTCCTTTTACGCGGGAGCGGTATGCGAGCATACGTACCAAGGTTCGCAAGCTTGATCGCCTTGAAAAGTTTGTCCTCGATCGTGAGGTCCTGCCGCGGCCTTTTGGTGCAGTGATATTTAATATATGGAAAGCAGCCGGTTCTAAGTACGTGGTAATTGCTGCTGCCTACCGGCCAATTGAAGTGGGACATTCCCCTTTGATTGTCGACGACGTCGGCATACTTCACGAAATACGACGTCCACGGTGGCTCGTTCGTTTGCAGCAGATAGCTCGTTAAGACCTGTTTGTACCGTAATGACACGGAGTCACTTTGTATATCCTCTCGTCCATCTGTCGGATGAATTCCTCTTTCGTCGATCGCTTAGAACCGCGCGGACTTGGCTATCGCTGACGTTACGCGACGCGAAAACTCTATCGTTCGAGGAATTGTCGTCCCAGGCGACAGATTACAACGAGAAGAACCTGCCGGCTCGAGGGATCTTTCGAAACTATATACGTTGCATTCTTTCCATCACGGGCAATGAATTCTTAGCATTCGATCGATGCACGAGAATTCTCACGGTTATCGGTTGCGAAGTCGCCTAATGGGAACGGAAAGGCTTGGAAATGCGGTTTCTGCGCGATGGTGACACGTCCATCGCTACTATATCGAGGTACACCTGTGCAGATACTCGCAAGGTCGAGGGTCAGTGTTCGTTAAGTAAATTATTTACGTTTAAGTTTGAAAATTCAATAAATTAAATAGGAAATATAAGTTATTGAAATTTTCGTCTTATCGAGATTTCAACTTATGAACGAATGTGACACGAACGTAGTTACAACTGCATTGTACGTAACAATGCAAGTTTGTTAAGATCAAAAGTTCGGTAGTTTTTTTTATTGTTCTTAAATTTAAAGTTGTTTCGACCGCAGGTTGGTGATCATTAGCAATCACTGATGATTAAAGAGGCTTACTGTGATTAATGGCTCTGACTATCTTGGTAGTCTTGGATTTTTTTAATCGAACCGTGGAATAATTTTGACTTCTCGAAGAAGAGAAACAAGATAGAACTTTTTAGTGGTCTTCGAGACTTTCATATTTATATACAAGATTAAAAAACTTGCCTCCGATGCTAACGGTTTGTCTTTCTTCATCCACGCCCAGATAGCATTTGAACGAACGATAATTGTGCGTTCAGCAGGCAATACTTTTAAAATCATTCGGTGAACCTTATCAGACCACTTGTGTTTGGTAGGAGTGTTCCGACGTTGCCTAGAAGTTCCTAAAGATCTTAACAACAGATGGTTATTTTCTAAATAGCTGCAAACACAATACAATTTGCTACAGGTTACTATTTTTCTACATAAATTATACATTTAATTATCAGCCCGAAAGCTCTAACATAGGTAATAATTTCCAATGGACACTCGAGTGCTGCGAATAAACTTGCAATATTTGAGTAAATATCAGTATATTTATTTATTTTTATTTTTCAATACTAAAATATTTGAATAATATTCGAATAATATTTGCTAAATATTTCAATCATCGAAGCGTTCGAATATTCTTATGTAAATACTGCGCGAAGTAGTTTCAACCAGTGTTGGACAGACATTGACTATACCACTGATCAGACGATACGTCGCGATGGATTACGCAATAATTTGTTTATTTACACTCACGCACTTTATTTTAAACGAACAATGGATCGATTTCTTTCAACAGCTTTCACGGTTTAACGTAGAAATGCTTTTATTGAGAACAGATACTACGTGCACCTGCAATCGCGAAGTATGCCACGTTCTAACTTAACAGTGGCAATGGAATATCGACGAGCATTCGTGGCACAGTGAGCTTGTTCGATTCACGGCTTTCTCGCGGCACTCATTATTCTGCCTTTCTAAATTAAACGCGTAGAGAGTGCTGCACAAAATGTCAAGGTTAACGAGGTTCAATTCGATCGCCTAACGGAAAATCGTTTCGAAGTAGGTTTTGGTACGTTCTTTCATGCTCACGAACCGTGAAAATACGATGAATCGTAATTGATTGCGCTTGCACAAGCAATTTATACGATTTATCGGTTTATTCTACCTTCAAAGGATATATTTTCGCGATATTCGATTCGAATGGGGTTACGAATATTTGTTGAATTGTTATCTGCCCGTATCAGTCTAATATTTTGAATATACTTGAAATATATTTGAAATATTCCAGTCTTAGAATGTATATATGTATTCTGAATATTCGAATTGTTATATTGTATAATTGTAATAGTTTCTTACACATTTTCAAGGGAAATATTCGCGATAGTGTATCCGTTATTTTAAATTTAGTATTTCCAGTCATCAACGATCTGAAAAACTCTCGAATTTGAAGCGAATCTGGTTGATTTTGAATATTTCGTCCGCCATATTGGATTCTTTAAGCTCGTGGTTCGCGACCTCAAAACCCTTAAAAACTGATTTTCGTTGATCAATAAATATTTAATATTTTAATATCGATGTTAAAATATTTATTTAAAATACTGTTTTGCTCTACTTGTTTGTAATATCGCGGTAACTCGATCGGTTTCGCAACGACAGCGCTGTTACTCACTTTTTGACGCATGCGTGAAATGGACGCCGAAGAATTGCATACGACGCAATCTTCGATCCACGGTGCTTCGTAATACGTAACTTTAACTGATCGTTGCACGTGCCTTTGTCGAAATTGCACTTCGCGTATCTCAGATGCTACGTGCGTTGTCTATAGTAATATAGAGAACACGTCTATGGATTGCACGTGTCACGAAAGAAACGTCTGGCGAGAAGTTCGTGATTTTACTAGGTCACGAGTCATGAAATAGTCTCTGGCGCTACAGTCGGCTGTATTGATCTTCTCTGGCGGTTATTTTGAATGTTTCTCAGCAGCACGGTACCGCAATTGAACGAAATTTTATTTAACTTATTATTATAATAATTTATTTTTGTTTGCTACTACGTATATTTCTATTTCCAAGTTTGGTCCTTTCGTATTGTATTTAAAAACCGATGCTGCACGTATATTACAGAAAATATAGAAGCATAGCGTGGCTCGAAGTAATTTAGTTTGTACATAATTTGCTTCAAGAAGTCTTTATTTCCGCTGTTATTACATCTTTCTTTTCACACGTTCTTAATAACGAGTGCGTCCCAGGTACACTCGTGCTATTGTTATCGTGCATTACTTGATGAATGTTATCACTTCTTTACTTCCGGACTACTCACGATTTTGGGTCACGGTGTATGTCAATACAATAATCCGTTAAACCTGACGGAATAACGGTATCGATGTCGCATTTCCGGTGGCAAAGGTATGATTTAACACTGTCCCCAGTTCTTCGCTCGTACGTTATACGTATATCTATATTTAGTACTCAAACAAAACCACAACGATCCCATAAGGCATTTAGATAAGTAAAATAGTTTTAAGACTTTCGAGTTATCGAACAATTGCATTTTAATGCAAAAAATTACTATTCTTTGCGTTATAAAATTGATACATTAACGAGTATATTTGCTCGCCAATTTTTTAAAGACATCTTATTTTTGCACGTCAAAGGTACAAAGAAGATAATTATTGGCATTTCGTACTCCGAAATTACATAATTTTCCGCTGGAAATATTAAAAAATAAAGAAACAGCATCCTTGTACTACTTGTGGTAAGAAAAGGTAATTTGGATAATGATGGCATTGATGCACGGGGTGTGGAAAATAGCAGACGATTACGAGAGTAAAATAATGCGTCGGTGACAGTTACTACGCAGGAGCTGTTAACATGATTTAGTATGATATTAACATTAACACCGTTGCTATATTTTTAAATTGTTTAATGTACTTTTTTCTTTGTGTTTCATTATGTTATAATGCTCCCTTGCTAGTAATTTTTGTAATTATCTGTGTCGCAACAGAGTTATTAGTTTCTTTTCACATTTGTTGTTTTATTAGAAAATTCCAGTAACGTGTCTTTGTTTCCAAGATATTCAATTAACTTCATCGAACAAGGAAGTTAGGTTAATAACCGCATATAGCTATACTTAGCCTTTGTACCGTAACGCATACATATTTTTCTTCTGTACGTTATTTTCCTTTCCACCCGGTACTTCATTTCTTTTTCTATATAATCTCGGAACGATAAAGACGTGTTATTATTATTATTTCTAAGTCGATATTCAGTCACTGTGTCCATACCAGTTTTCTCTATCCGCTACTGAATCTTTGCTAGCCCATTTCAATATCAACATTGCAAATCGTTCACGGTCTGTTAACTTTTGTGGGCTATTCAACGACTATGTATCAATAAAAGTGTCTTTTATCCGTGTTATCGTTAAATGCTTTTCAATCCTCTCGAAAATATTACTGGAGAAAGTACATGGTTGCGTTTGAAAAATTAGAATCGTAAACAAAATAATCAAATAACAAAATTTTGTAAACACAGCGGTTCTATTACTTCTACTTTCCCGACTGCGATTAATACTTATTAAATTCGCGAGTAACGAACAAAAGAAACCCGCATATGTTGAAAGTAGCACGTGTGATATTTAGAGTTTACCGACTTCGAGCTACAGTTAAATTGCCATGTACTAAATAGCCATGTTCAGTAGAAACTGAAACACGCGTTTACCGAGGTTCACCAATCGTTGAATTATTATCGTTGGCATGCACAGTCGTCTAATAAAAACGAAAGATCAGAACCGCGGTTTCTTAACGTTTGCAATCTCCACCGTTTTTACTTGAAATCGCGCCGCTGCTCGGTAATCGATATAAGATTGCTTCTTTTGAAATCTCACCGGATCCCGGAGCATTTACTTTAACTCGATTTAATTTCTATAAAGAGACCGACTGTTTTCTAATTATCCTTATCATTTTTTTTCTGTTTCAGGTAAGTTCATCCACGTTGCTGCGCACCGAGTGAGTAATAATATTTATCCCGCTCGAGAATGCGCTCTCGCGAAAATTATCGGCAACGAACCTCGCAGTCCTTTAATTCCTACGAGCATTCAAGCCTCGAACCACTAGAATTCGTGTAACGTTACCACACCCAAGATCGTTTACACGTATAACGTATCGCGCCGGTTTGCATAGCGTGTTATAAATTACCCCGATTTTTACTAAAGGCGTTTCGAGTTACATTTATTTACATAACTACGGCTACGTTCGTTCTCCACGGTATTAAGGAACGTCGTTCCCTGGTCTGGGTTGGTCACTCTGACCGCGAGGAATAGCAGAAACGGTACCGATTTTACATTCGATCTCATCGGGGGACTAATTATTTTATTTGGAATATACACAAACCTATATTTATATTAATCATGATATTCTCGGAAAGGTGGTAATCTACGTGGAATAAATTGTTTTCGTTCGAGATAATATAATTTGAGAAAAGCATTCGTCTGACGCGTCTGTCCATTACTATCTATTTCTACTTGTCTCGATATCCAAGTAGTATTATGAAGGAAAAATATTACTATTTGTAAAAAATATTAGTACATTTCTGTTCACGATAAAAAATTCACGAACAACTATATAATAAAGAAAGATAAATTTAGAACTAGAAATTTTTCCGAGAGGCGTATCTGAAATAGGAAAATTGATTTGAAATTCGCTGGTATGCCACGTTATTTCAAAGTAGTATTTATTGTAGACTAATGTCTATATATACTAATTCAGTAAGGGTTAATAAATAAGACTATAGCAGCGAGTAAACGATACACACGCAAGAGTTTAATTGGTGTAAAGTTACTACCAGCATTTTGTACCTAGCTGACAGAGTTGTCCCTTAAGGTGCGTGTTCGTGCGATATTAAAGTCATGGCATTTTAAAGTCAGCGTGATTTCTTTTGCAAGCGTGTTTTAATCCTGCCATGCAGTTTACGCCAGGATAAATTAATGACGAGGCGCGATATACGTTATCCTTCTTAATAGCTTAGTGCGTAATCAGTGAAGTCCCTTTCTTTAAATTCCTCTTCTTATTTAGTAGGCATAACGCTGACAGTGTTCTGGTCATTACTCGTACGACTTGTAATTCTTTCCAAAATCTATCTTTTTATTTGTCACGTGTATAGATAATGATATTGCGTCGAAAGTGTCGCTGAAAGTCGAGTTTGGATTGATTTCGTGGCACTGACGAGACATCCCGAAAACGCGACACTCGGTTTTCATCGCGTTTACTATCGTGGCAATAAAAGACGTGACTCAATGTCACGTGAACACGTACCGGTAAGGATGGCTCTCTTCTGCCATAAACTGATATGTCACGGCCTGTGTCTATCCGCGGTGGTCGTGTGAACGTGATCGAGTACAGCTTTGGAAGAAGAGTTCTTTCACGCGAACCCACGCGGCTCCACAACGAAGAAACAAGTGAACGTTTTCGATGTTGGATCGTTGCAGAAAATTTAATATCGTCGTTATTTATTTCACAGTTACTATAGTTGCGACGGTACTTATATAATAAGATTGGATAATTACACTAATTTAATAATTCTTTGTTTTGTTTCTTCAGGAAGAATCGTCTTCCTAATGACATCATATCCTTCTACCGTAAGCATTCTGTATACGTGTATAAATAGACAATTTCGCACGCGATGACAAAGTCTCTGGCAACAATTAGCAACTGTGGAACAAGACACAATGGTCGGGGCTCTCGCTATTTTCTGACGACACTAGACTGTCGTGTGCCTGCACTTTGTCTTTCGTGCGTTGGTCTTCCGCATGCTCGCCTGAGATAGCTTTAAATATCTTACAAACGTGGCCGGTAGACTGCCGGTGAGCACGTAAAGAAACATCGCTGTCATATTGGATTACATTGATGTGCTAATTCGGCTTTAGAAGCAGGAAACGCTTTCTTCGTTTCTGACACACCCACATCTGATTACATTGGAGTTAATAGACCGGGTCTCGATGAAATTGGAATTTCTCTTATCTTTTATATTCGTTACGAGGGAACGGCACGACCATGCAAATGAAGGATCGCTGGGAAATAGAGTCGTCTGAATCTTATTAAAAAATATGAATCTAGATCTTTTCAAGAATAAACGTTTCAGATTTATACCTATCGTTTGGTACAATTCCTCCGCAAGTTCTCGAATTATTTTTCTATGTTCCCTGTCGACAACAATGACTGATAATAAATTTCGATAGCTTCAACGCGTCGAGCAACCGTGTATCTCTCCACGATGACTCGTAAATCACCAACTGAACAGAAACGTCACGTAACTCGAACGAGCGAGTAACAAATATGACGACCATGACAATTGGAAGTTCTATCGTCCTGATAGGAACATCTTATCGTCTACAAAGGGTTAAATATTTTTCGAAAAATTTTAACATATAAATTCTTCGATTGCTAAAATAATACCGCAGCTGTTGCGTGAAACGTTTCCGCGTCCCTCGCCAGCCGTAATTACTTTCGCGGATTCGTTTCTGTCGAATGGCTGGCCGTTTGAAAATTTTGCGGAAATACGATCCCGCCGGCGCGGTTTATGTTTCTGGAACGCTCTGTTCGCGTATATTTACGCCCGTCTCTATAAATATATTCTTATGCAATACGCGACCCTTTCGGCGTGTGTACGACGAGGCTCGCTATGTTGGCAACGCGTTACTTATTTTGATGGGAGTCTACGATTTCCGCGAGATAAATGATGCAACGGCCATCTGCCTCGTCGGCCGGACTGGCTCCTTCATTATGCGAGACGCACGTATGTACGTAAGTACACGGGTCCCGGTAACCGTGTAAAATTTCAAATCGCAACTGCTGGGACACGTATGCTACCCGAGAGTCGGTTAACGGGA